CCAATGAAGTACGCGGATTTGATTTCGGAGGAAGAATGGGAGACGTTTGTTGCAAAGCGAAGAACAAAAGAATTTGAAGTAAGTACAACTTATCATGAACTATGTATAATATATATACTTCTTCCACAAGAGTTCTGATAAACTTGTTTTTTCAGGTTGTTAGTGGCGTAAATCGTCAACGGACATCAAATCCCGCATATCCATACAGAAAGGGGCGCTTGGGATATGCACGCTTAGAACAAAAAATAGTAAGTACATATAAATGCTTTAATATGATATATTTACAAAAAATAGTAAGTATATATAATAGGATATAATGCTTTATTATCCGTCTTAATGCGTAGTTGGAAGAGGAGAAGAGTGATGCGACATCTCTTCCGGACCATGTTGTATGGAAGGCTGCCCGTGTGGGAAGTGATGGAGTCGTTCAGGAAGAAGTTCAACAAGTCTTTGAACAATGTGTAAGTACAACGTTATCTTTGTCAGTAACTGATCAAAAGTGTATAATATATTTATATATGTTTTTATCTATATTTCAGGAGACTCTATCTCAGACCATAACTCCCTCTGAGGACGATGATTGCAGGAGCTTATTGAGCCGGGTGTTGAATATTCCTGAGTATTCTGGGCGTGTGAGGGGTAAGGGATTTGGTGTCACTCCATCCAAACTGTATAAGCAGCCAAAGAAAAAAAATCCAACCAATAAAGAAGTGATGGATACTTTGGAGGAATTGAAAGCGCAGATCCGTGAATTACAGAAGGACAAGGAGAGATACATGTCGGAAAGACGCGCTCCAGAGGGTAAATCTACTAGTAACAAAGATAGTATCGGTTGTCCGCAGAAGCTTCCAGAGGTAATTGTATATATTACATTGAAATTAATTTAGCACAATTTACTTAATTGACACATTAACTGATCATTATTTGTTTAGGGCATTTCACTTTGCCGGCTATATTTATCGTCACCGACTCATCGAATGGTTGGCAAGGGAAAGGTGCATAACTTTCTGGGAGACTTACTTCACCACAAACCACTCCCTTCTGGATTTTTGAAAGTATCTATTGATATTGCGTTAGAGGGGGGTGCGTTGTTGCCTATACCAGATGATATTTCAGGCGCAACAGTGGTGGGAGACGCAATAGGAGCGTATGTGGCATGGCCGACAAATCTCATTTGCATAGATGATGAGGTAGGTTGAACCTTTTAATACTCAAATGTTTTATGATCCATACATGAAAGTTATTCTTACATTTACATTTTCTTATTTACATGATGATCTTAGACTCCTACAAAATTCAAATCAAAAGATGATAGAATTATTGTGCGGGATACTGATTCAGCTGCATCAAAGAAACAAGTGCTACTACAGTTACATGATTATCTTGTTATACATTAATTACTAAACTTATATATGACTTTTAGGTTCATGATCAGCAGTCGCAACAAGTCAACAAGGGTAAGATGCCTGAAACTTCCAAGGTGCCCAGAAAAGCATTTGTTCCTCGATTTAGGATGTGCCTTGAAACATATGTGGGAACATCAGATGTGCCTGAGGGTGGCATCCGTCAAATACATATGGACGGAGGTATATTCAGTTTTGAATATCCCGAAACAATTGCTAAAGAGGATTTTGATAAGGTTTTCAACCATTCTGAATTAGGCGTCGGTGTTATGCATTCATACATCAGGTACTTCGATCCATTTTAATTAAATAATTGAAGATTTTAAAATTTGCTCGTTTAACTGAATATTCTAATGTTGATTATGTTTTTTTAGGTTCTTGTATGACAAGTTGTTGGTCCCGAATGAATTGACTTCAGTATTCGCATTCTTATCTGCTAGCTGTGTCAACTCATGGATAATAGACCAGACACCAGATATAGTCATAGAGTACACAGTGCAGAGATTTATGGGCGCGACTACGGAGAAGTTGTTCTTGTTGCCATATAATACTGGCCATGGGTTAGATTTTATTCTAAATTCATTTATTATAATTGTTAGATTTTTCCCTTTCTATATAACATTTCTGTCTAAACTGTTGTCTTATTTTATAGTGGACATTGGTTGTTGGTCGCGATTAATCCGAGGAAAGAAATAGTGTATTATATAGATTCATTGGATGTCGATACAACAAAATATGAAAATCTGAGGAACATGGTTGATACGTAAGTGATGAGATATACTGTTGTCTTTAATTATATATCTTTATTTATTATGTGACATTGTTCTAAATATGCATTTATATTATGTTAGAGTTATACAAATATTCAGAGCACAAAGAGATGCAACGGTGTCAAAAAGCAAGGCTAACAACATCAACTGGATCAGAGTGGAGGTATATTTTCCCATGTTTGACTGTTATAGTGGTTCTACTTGATAAAACTATTTAAACTATATATCCTGATAAATGTTCGTTTGTTTTTTCCATTTACAGTGTCCTCGTCAGCGCAATGGTATTGACTGCGGATATTTTGTATTGCGCTTTATGAAGAAAATTATTCTTTCTGGTCAACTTGAGATTTCAATCATGGTATGGATCAATTCATTATATAAGTTATATGATTCATTTTGATAATTATCCGATACTTCATCTGAGTAATTAGTTTTAAAATTAAATCTTGCATGTTCTGTTATATTATGTAACATATTTAAGCAGGTTTATGTGTATTAAAATGATTATGGACAAAGTGATGAGTTACAATGTATACTTAAAGGCCAAAGTTTTGAATTGTATATATAAGGCCAAAGTTTTGAATTGTATATATAAGGCCAAAGTGTTGAAATAAAGGCCTAAATTATAAGCAGTTTGTGTAATATAAGCAGGTTGTTGGTAAATATACAAAACAGGGTGAATATTTAAAAAAAAAAAATTTAAAATCTGGGACATTAGACAGCGCTTTTACAAAAAAACGCTGCTAAAGGTGGGCTCTAAGACAGCGCTTTGTGAAAGTGCTGCTAAAGGGGGGGATGGTTGGGGGGAATATGCAGCGCTTATGAAAGCGCTGCTAAAGGGCTATAAAAGCGCTGAAGGGAGCCTTTAGCAGCGCTTTTTCCATAAAAAAAGCGCTGCCTTTACCTTTAGCAGCGCCACTTTTGGCAGCACTGCTAAAGGTCTTTTTTGGCATAGTGGCCACAAAGTCAAGTAGAAAACTTTACTTGGGGTTGAAGAAACATGTCACTCTTCCTTGAAAAGCAAACCATGATACCTTGATATCTTATCTTAGAATAATACTATGCAAAAATGAGAATGAGAATGCAATGAAACATAAGTTAAAATACAAAAGAAAAATGGATAAATTTTGGGGTGATACAACTGTATACCATATTTTCAAAATAAAAAACTATTCTCACAAATATTAAAATATTATTTAAAATAACATAATTACAGACCCTTCAAATAGGTCAGGCTACAACATGTCAAACCATAATGTCATAACCCAATTTCTTCCGGGTGTTTAATTTTTTTTTCTTTAAATTTAACAAAAGTAGTTGTTATTTCGACTAATAATTTGATGATTATTTTCTACATTCTTTAAGCTTGAACTAGTTTGATTCTTATTTAGTTTTATTTTCATTTTTATATAAATTAGTTTTGTTTTATTTTAAGTTGATTTTTGTTAATTAATTTGAGTTTTAGTTGATTTATAAAATAGTTTAATTTATTTTTTATTTTTATTAATTTATTTTATTTATTTTTTATTTAAGTTATAAATAGTTTGATATAAGCAAATATAAAAAAAATATATAGTTAATTTGTTTTATTAGCCAATTTATTGGTCAAGAAAAGTAATATATTATCTTTATATAAGGAGTCATCTTCTTTGGATCTAAGAAGATACACACCTTTACACCAAAAAGAAACATATCAGAAATTCGAGATTCTTCTCTCAAAGAGAGGAAACAACTGACACACCGTATCTCGTTATAGGAATACCACCCCAAAGACCTTCATCTCCATTTATTCAAAAAGGACTAGGTTTATCAGTTGCGAATCTCGTACTCCAAAACTTAATTTATTCTTAAGTTTATAAACATTATCCCAGTTAATTCAAGAGATCTTAGAATCTCTCTTCTCTCATCCCAAAAGTAACCTTAAATCTTAATAAAGTTTCTTTCAAACCTTCACCGACATCTTAAAAAAAAGATATGAAGAATATATAAATAACATTAAGTATGTAATTGAGTAAAATCACTCTACCAGCCAAACTAACATATATGTGCTTATAAGAATGGAGCTCTTGATCAACATACTGACTAAAGAGTTCCAAATAAATCCAACCCTAAGATTAGCTTCATCGGCAGACGTAGATAATTAAACAAAAGGGTTTAAATCTTACTGTGGATGAAATAACATGCAGAGACCAAAATAACATGGTCTACATTATAAGACTGCTCTTGAAGAAATTAATCCAAAGACCTGATTTATCTATTGTGTATAACTAAAATAGAAAATAAACCAAAAACGTTTTATGAAAGTAAATCGCCACTAGTATTGGACTTAATTCTTGAATTTTTTTTTACTAGGGTTTCTCATTAAAAAGATATGAAATATAATATTTGGTTTCAATTCCCCTTTGAAATATGCAAGAGTTGCAGTTTCATGCAAGTTGCTTTTAAAGCAATTTTGTCCATAAACAGAAATATAAAATGTTGTCACAAATAAAGTTTGATAACACTTTAAAATTTGATTAGTTTGTCCTAAAGCTAATTAGGTGCTACACAATAATTTCCACTAAGATTTAATTTATTTAAAATATTATCCCAATTAATTTATGTTTCCATTTCCACTAACTTATTAGACTTTAGTGTCCCAACAAAAGCAAAGTGGTCTGCCTATACTTTTTCCTATTTGAATATTATTATACATTTCTAATTATTTCAAATTATGAAAACTGTCAACTTCAGTTTTTGATGCAAACAATTTGTCTTTGCAATATACATAGGAAACATTTGTTTTGTGAAAGGTACATGTAGAAATATTCCAAGGACCACACTCATCATGGATTTCATGTTTCTCAAGAAGTTTACACTCCTCTTTCTCCTCATTTCTGGATCACTTTTATCAACTTCTTCTGCAGGTTAGTTTTCTTTAAGTAGGTCTTTTGCAGCTTTATAGTTTTTCTTATATATTATATTAAGTTTATAACATTGGTATATGGAAATTAAATTAATTTAGATTTGATTCCATGATATGCTTCTTTTTTGCTTCAAGCCCTTGAAGTGGGAAGCATGTGATCAACTTGATAACTTTATTCTCTGAGATTAAATTCTTCATAGTGTTATCAATTATATATGTATTAGATAAACTATATATAGAAGCTATGAAAGTGTTTCATGAAAATAAAAAAGTTACATAGTGTGTGCTTAATGTATATGCAGGTCGAGAATCAAAGTTCATGAGAATCTCATATCAAGATATGAATTCAGCAAAAGAGGTATGCATGAAATGGAAATTCACTTTAATTTATTATAGAAAATCTTAAATACTACCAATTATAAACTTATTTTCATTATTTACCTAACTAACTATATCTATCTATCTTTTTTATCTCTCAACATGTTTAAAGCCTTGTACCTAACCATCAAATGGTGCAAAGCTCATGAACTACCAAATTTAAGTTTTAGTAGGGTTTGATGAAAAACAAACATATAAGAGTATAGTTTCCAATTTTTTTGGTTTATTTTATAGCATTTTTCATTGAAATTTTGGCCACTATGCACTAATTTGTTAACTAGGTATGTGTTCATGCTTTTTTTATTTTGACAGGTAGCAACAATGAAGGCAATGGATGAGGAAGAAGTAAGCATTATCCATGAGAGGCTTCTTAGGGCTAATACAAAAGATTATGGACGATATGATCCAACTCCAACTTTTTCTAAGCCTCCTTACAAGCTCATACCAAATTGAATTACAACGTTTAACGAATGAATCCTTGGAAGTTGGAACCAGAAATATAAGTGATATATAATATAAATAATCCATGTTTAATGATCTTAGTGTAATATAAAACTTTCATATATATTTTATTATATAGACATGTATAAATATAAATGCTTAGTCATATGTTTTGAAGTCTATAATAACTTGAGTTATTATAGAAGAACATGTACGTGTACGTGTGTTTTAAGTTTTAATTAATATCACTATATATATAGCTCTAGTTTTGTTGTAATGTATGCTTTGATTTGATATACATATAATAATGTATTGTTTTTTATAAGCAAGCATACATAGGATGGTGTATTGCATGAAAGAAAATAGTTAATGAGATTATAGATATTATGTTTGAGTGTTTGCTTGTTATGCTCTTCAAACATTATTTTTTGGACTTGGAAAAACTGGGTGAGATACTTATGAGATAGGGTTGACATCAGATTCTTTAGTCGATGTTTTGTTATATTTGCTATTAGAACATCAATCGGTATAAGAGGTTAAAGAAAAACGAAAATAAATGATAATAAATACGATTAATTTTTATTAATGTAATTTGGTTAATGATGTTGTTGTGAATAGGATACCGTTAAACAAAGTATACACGGTTTCTTATCAAGAAACACACAAGGGTTAGGGTTAATAAAGAAAAAAGCAACAAGGAACAACAAGGATTGCTTATTAAACTGCTTTTTTTCCTTTCACTTATAACAAGATTACAAGTATACAAGAATAACAAAAATAACCTCTCTCCCTTGAAATTAGGATTTTATCTTCCTATTTTTCCTTATTCCAAGATTGAGAAACTAGCATCCTATTTATAATAAAATAGCACACTAACCTAATGGGCTTTTTAACAATTACCCATTACAAGCTAACTTAGGGTACAAGCTAAATTAAACAATTGGACTTACAAACAAGGCCCAATTCAACATGCTAACAACCGTAGCAATATTTACTAATGAATGTTAGAACAGACTTCGACTACAACACGCATTACTTGCGAACAAACTTCGACTATAATAGAGTTCGATCCAACATCTCACAAATCTCCACCTTGGATCTAACTCTATAACATCAAGAAACTAGCTTTCTTCATGCAGCTTTATTAACTGCATACAGTGGAAAAACTTGCAACTGGGCAATGTCTTGGTGATCATATCAGCAGCATTATGATCTGTCGAAACCTTCAGCACTTGGACTTCTCCACGCTCGATTACCCCTCTGATGAAATGCAGCCTCACATCAATGTGCTTGGTTCGCTCATGATAGGCTGAATTCTTCGACAGGTGTATTGCACTTTGACTATCACATTTAACAATGATAACTCGACCTTGAAGTTTTAGCTCCTTTGCAAAACCTTCAAGCCACAATGCTTCCTTCACAGCTTCAGTTAGGGCAATATACTCCGCTTCAGTGGTTGATAGGGCAACGACCTTCTGAAGTGTTACTTTCCAACTGATTGCTGTCCCAAACATAGTGAACACATATCCAGAGATAGATTTTCTAGAATCCATACAACCTGCATAATCAGAGTCGACATATCCATCGATTGCTGCTTTACTATCTTCACCCAAGGCTCCACCATAAATTAGGACTCTATTCAGAGACCCATTTATGTACCTTAAAATCCACTTTAATGCTAGCCAGTGAGCCTTTCCAGGATTCGCCATGTACCTGCTTACAAGACTTACTGCATATGCTATGTCGGGTCTAGTACAAACCATAGCATACATCAAAGAACCTACTATGTTAGCATATGAAATGCTATTCATATAAGTTCTTTCAACATCAGTGCTGGAACACTGATCTATACTCAGCTTGAATTGAGGGTTTGTCGGAGTCACAACAGGCTTTGAATTCGACATACCAAACTTTTCGAGAACCTTCTGTAGGTATGCCTCTTGAGATAAGCATAATTTCGAATGCTTTCTATCTCTCCGGATGTCAATCCCAAGAATCCTGGACGCAACTCCCAGATCCTTCATTTCGAACTCTTTATTGAGTTCAGCCTTCACCCTCATTACCTCTTCGACATTGTTGCTTGCTATTAGAATATCATCCACATAGAGCAACAAAATAACAAATGAATTACCCGGTCGAAATCTGAAGTAAACACAGTGGTCGAACTGGCTTCTGATGAAACTTATGTGTGCCATGAACTTGTCGAATCTCCTATTCCACTGTCGAGGAGATTGTTTCAGTCCATATAAAGATCTATTCAGTTTGCACACATAATCTTCCTTCCCCCTTTCGACATACCCTTCAGGTTGCCTCATCAGGATTGTTTCATCTAGATTACCATGCAAGAACGCAGTCTTCACATCCATTTGTTCCAGTTCAAGGTCGAACTGAGCCACCATGGCAAGCAATATTCGAATGGATATGTGCTTCACAACAGGAGAGAACACATCATTAAAGTCGATACCTTCTTTCTGAGTGAACCCCCTAGCAACCAATCTTGCCTTGTATCTCTTCGACAACACTCCTTCGATTCCTTCCTTAACTTTGAAAATCCATTTACAACTGACTAACCTGGCTCCAGCAGGTTTCTTGATCAGTTCCCAGGTATTGTTATCATGAAGAGATTTCATCTCATCATCCATGGCCTTCAGCCCTTAAGTCTTCTTTCGACTCCTCATAACTTCCTTATAGTCTCTAGGTTCTTCATCTAGAACCTCACTAGCAGAAATTAAGGCATAAGCTATAAGATCTGCATACCCAAGTCTCTGAGGTGGCTTGATGACTCTCCTCGACCTGTCTCTTGCTAGCAGGTAGTCATTATCAATCTCTTCATCTTCGACAGCATCTTCTGCGTCTTTTTCGACTTCATCTGGGGTAAGCAATTCAACATCAACATGCTCCACCTCAACAGGAATCTCTCCCTGTTCCAGCTCTTCGTCAGCATAATCAGTTTTCTTGAAATCCATCACTGCTTCATTGAAAACTACATCTCGACTAGTGATACACCTTCTGTGACCTGGCTCTAGGAACCATAGCCTATAAGCTTTGACTCCTTCAGGGTATCCCATGAACATGCACTTCAGAGCTCTAGGTTCGACCTTGTCTTGCCTAATATGAGCATAGGCCACACAGCCAAATACTCTCAGTCTGTCGAGACTAGGTGGATGTCCCGACCAAACTTCTTCAGGTGTCTTCATTCCCAAGGCAGTCGAGGGACATCTATTTATCAGGTAAGCTGCTGTCGAACAGCTTCTGCCCAAAACACCTTCTTCAATCCAGCACTAACCAACATGCATCTAACCCTTTCAAAGATTGTTCGATTGAATCTCTCAGCTAAGCCATTTTGTTGAGGAGTACCTGCTACAGTCTTATGCCTTGCAATCCCAGACCCAACACAGTAACTGTCGAAAGCTTCGTTGCAGAATTCAAGGCCATTGTCGATTCTCAACCTCTTAACCTTTCTGCCAGTCTGAGTTTCGACTAGAATCTTCCAACTTTTGAAATTCTCAAAAGTTTCATCCTTCGTCTTCTGAATGAATACCCATAGTTTTCTGGAATAGTCATCAACGATGGATAGAAAATACCTTGCACCTGAGTGTGAAGGATTCCTTGCAGACCCCCAAAGATCAGCATGAATGTAATCCAGGGATCCATGTGTTCTTTGCTTGCCTTTGTTAAACTTCGCCCTACAGGATTTACCAAATACACAAGATTCACAAAATTCCAACTTTTCGAATTTGTCACCTCCTAGCAGGTTCTGCTTCCCCAATTCGACCAGGCCTCTTTCGCTGACATGGCCCAATCTCATGTTCCATAATTCTGTCTTCGACATAGATTTCGTGGATGCAACATTTGCCGAACCACTTACAACCTCAGCCTCAAGGGTATACAAGCCTTGTTTCTTCACGCCTCTCAAGACTTCCTTCGACCCCTTCATGACTCTTAGGATACTTTTCTCTCCTTGAAAAACATATCCTTTTCTGTCGAATTCACCAAGAGAAATCAAATTTCTCTTCAAGTCAGGTACGTACCTGACTTCAGTCAATAACCTTATTGACTCATCATGGAGCTTGAATCTCATAGATCCAATACCTGTAATTTTGCAAGATTTGTTGTTTCCTAACAGCACAGATCCACCATCTTGATCACATAGCTCCTCGAAAAATTCTCTGTTTGGAGTCATGTGCCAAGTGCAACCTGAATCCATAATCCACTCTTTCCTCGAGTCGCCACTTGAAACCACAAGAACATCAGATGAGTCGAAGTCATCTTGAACAATGGCTGCATTTCCATTACCTTCATGATCTTTCAGGCGTTCAGGGCACACCTTTCTTATGTGACCCTCCTTCTTACAGTGATAACATCGAATACTAGATGTTTCGCCACTATAAGACTTCTGTTGACTTTTACCTTTCTTCTTGTCGAACTTACCATCCTTTCGCAAGAATTTTCCCTTAACGGCCAAACCTTCGCCCACCGTTGAAGGTTTATGCTCCTTTCGTTCGTTCAAGTCCTTAGAATACAAGGCTGATTGAACTTCTTCAAAGGTCAGGGACTCCCTTCCATACAAGAGAGTTTCTTTGAAGTGAGCATGTGTTCTTGGCAAAGCACACAGCAGCAACAGTGCTTGATCTTCATCATCGATCTTCACATCAATATTTTCAAGATCAAGAATCAGCTTGTTGAACATATCCAACTGCTCAGCCAAGACTTTGTCTTCACTCATCTTGAATGAATATAAAGCTTGCTTCAGGTATAGTCGATTCACCAGAGATTTGGTCATGTACAAACTTTCAAGTTTCACCCATAATCCCGATGCTGTAGTCTCCTTTGATACCTGTCGAAGAACCTTATCACCAAGGCTCAACAATATTGCGATGTGGGCTTTCTCGATCATGCCCGTCTTTTCTTTTGCTGTTAACGGAACGTCCATGGTTGCCTCACCCTTCAACGCTTCCAAACAACCCTGCTGAACCAATAGGGCTTTCATCTTCAAGCGCCACAGACCGAAG